GCTTCCCTGGGCCGCCCCCTGCTGCTGCGCGCTCTGCCCCGAGGGGAGGCCAGGAGGCTGCCACCTGCGGCCCCCAAACCTCCTCGGTCTGCGTGTTGGGCTCCGATCTCGCTCAGGCTGCTTTGGGGATGTTGAACGGGTCAGCATCCCCCTTGCCCCCGGTTACCGTTAACCTGGAGCAGCCCCCGGCCTGATGCGGGCAGGGACTGTTCCCGCCCAGCGGGGTCTGCCCCAGGTGGGGGACGCTCAAGCCTAGCATGCGACGGGCAGGTCCGACCGGAGCAGCATGGGTGCGCCTCAATCTGGTCCCATTTAAGCGGTTAACTAGTTAAACATAACTTTTAACCAATTAACACATGAATTGGGGTTTTGCATCCTTAATCTGGAGTCTAATCCCATATTTACTTTGGCGTTTTTATGGGATTCCTAGGTCGCTCGAACCTGCGTAGTATTAAAGAGATTTATTTTTTAATGTTCAATGAAACTACTTTTACAGGAAAAAAAAATGCTGGTCTAAATTGTGGAGAGCTTTGCATCTTCTTTAAAGTAACTTTTAGTGAAGGGTGAGTTGGTAGGTGTAGATTCAACTCATCTGTCACACGAAGAGAGATGGACAGGACTCTATTGGTTGATTTAGGACTAGTAGCCTTAATGGGGCTGTTTCTAGTATGAAGTGAGCCCAGGCATTGCTTCCTTGTGTATTTAATTTGTATTGCTTCCTACAACTATTGGTTCTAGGTTAGACTTCTTTATCTGAAGAGAGAGGTGATTGCGTGTGCTGCAGGAGTTTTTTAATCTAGTAGTTGGCTTTTTGGTGGAAGTATGGTGTATGCATCAGTAGTGTTGCTATCAGATAAGCCAGGGGTGGGGAACCTCATGCACAGGGGCTGGATGCACAGGGAACTGTCCTCTGGCTTGCCTGGATCCAGCCCCTGAGGCTCAGGGCCCCCCTGCTTCAGAGAGAGGTGATTGCGTGTGCTGCAGGAGTTTTTTAATCTAGTAGTTGGCTTTTTGGTGGAAGTATGGTGTATGCATCAGTAGTGTTGCTATCAGATAAGCCAGGGGTGGGGAACCTCATGCACAGGGGCTGGATGCACAGGGAACTGTCCTCTGGCTTGCCTGGATCCAGCCCCTGAGGCTCAGGGCCCCCCTGCTTCA